CAGATTCCCTCAGTGTCAGAAACAGACAAGAGACATAAGGAGACAAGACTGTCACACTGACACAGATTCCTGTAATAAGACTGGCTTTTAAAGAGTCGTACTATCAGACCTGTCAGATTCCTAGTGGAGTCAGTAATCCAGATATAGGCTCCACCGCTGGCATTTGAAGAGTCACGCTAAATAGAAGTTCTTAACAGCAGTTTGGGAGGGATGACAACTGAGAAAGACAATTTCACTCAGCTGTTTTAAATCACAATCATAACCGCCTTTCACTATATATATATATCTCTCTTGAATACACCTCTTTTTGATTTTTGTTGCATTATTTCATTCCTTACATGTTCCAAAATGACAAAGAAGGAAAGAGAAGACAAGTGGGGAACAACAGAGAAATATATTATACGTCTTGCAATTGCTTCACACGTTATTTGTTTGTACATGGATCGTTCTCCAAACTACAAAAAAACAGAAAGAAAAACACTCTATCAGGTATCTACAATATCTGTTAGCTTCAGGCCGCCTATCACTGGCTCTGTCAACTGGCATCCTACAGCTCTTAATGTCTGCCTTCTCTTTTTAAGTTAATGTCCATCTTTCCTTCTGTCTCTGTCTGTGGCTTCCACCCTGGCCCAACGCCTTGGTGCTTTCTGTCCTGGGTTCCTCCCTCTTGCCCCTGCCGCTCTTGATGCCTCCTCCTCAGTCCCAGATCTGCCCGGCGTCCTACCCCTGCTTCAGTCAGCAGGTGTCCTACTGGCAACATTTCCCTTTTTGAATTATACCCAGTTGTTTCCTTTCTTCAAGATCTTAAACAAAAGTCCATTCTCCAATGGCTTTCTCTTACTAATCAATATGTAATCATTACAGTTCATTTCCAGGCTATTTCAGTTTTGGTCAAGTTTTCTCTTCAAAAAGAATCTGGATTCTCCACTGAACAACTTCTCGTCACTCGTTTCAATTTACTGCAGCCTTCTTAGTAGCTCTTCAAGGCGTATTCTTTAACACTGAAGATGAAGATGTCCCTGGTCTTTAGAAGCTCAAATCCAAGCCAATTCTGCTGTTCTGAAGCAGGCAGTCCTGCAGATTGATACACTGATCCACAGACTCCACCAAACACTTGTACTGTCCACGATCAGAGAGACTCATGTTTGTGAGCTTTAGAGACATGTTGCCTCTGGGGAGCTCCTGCAGGAACAGCTCAGCTCTGTCCCTGTAGGCTGGGTTCTGTGTGTCAGAGTTATACTTCCGGTTTTCGTATAAGCATACAGGGGCACTGTAATCCCCTCGAAACCATCCTGAGGCTCAGCCCGGACAACCATGTAACGGCCAGTGTGTCCGAGTGCCAGAACTTTCCATTGTTCTAAGAGTCAAGAGCGGAGGTTGCCAGAGAGTAACCAGAGGATCCACCCAAGGTTAGCACCAGCAGCAGGCCTCGAGAACAGGTCGGAACTGTGGACAGCTGAATCAGTATTCAGAACTAGCGCTTCATCAGGAACGAACCGGTCCTCTTCCTGACCTGCTGGGACCCACAGTCATCTTTTCTCCTGTGCACAAACTTCGCTAGTTAACGCCAACACTAACTAGCCGGTCTTCAGAGAGCATCAGCAGTGCAGGAGTCTCCACCAAGCCGCAACAGCACAGCCTGGCACCGAGCCAGAGAGGGCGGATTGGACAGCAACAAGCCTGCAACTGTTCCTTTGTGCCTGCAGGAGATCTGAATCCCCAGAGATTGGATGAGTATTCAACTTCACTGCATTACTGCTCGAGAATTCAATTGTTATCCCAACCAGTTGATATCAATTTAATTCCTAAGAGTTATGCACTTGTTTTGAGTATCTAATGTAGAAGTTGTAACCAAGTTCAGTTATGACTCCTCCTGATGAGGAGTCTCTCTGTAGTGAACCATGTTCTGTTTCCTCACAAAGTGTCCAGAGATGATGAGGATCAGGTGTGGAAAATGGAGCCCCTCTCCTCTCCTCTCCTCCTCAGGCTGCCTTTTTGGTCCTTTTTGGTAATGGTCCTATTACTGTGTTCTACTGCTCCTGGACTCTGAGTTTAATAAGCAACGTGAAATCCTTTTTACCCCCAACAACTGCATGGCTTATTTCTTGGTTTTCCCTGTAAAATGTGAACTCTGAGCTGAATCTGTCTGATACTATTCCCCATCATGGAAACATTTCAGTAGCCAAAGCCTTGGACGTCTTTGTTCATCCTGCATCAGTAACTGTTTTCAGGCTGGTGTTGTTCACTCAGCAGTTGTACTGTAGTGTAGCACCACCTTCTGACGGCTCAAAAAGTTTTCAACAGCCTTTACCAGTCATGGCCTCCTAATAACCCCCCTCTCTGAACTGGCTTCATCACTCTGCTCTCCTCCCCACTGAGAGCTGGTGTGTGTGAGCAGACTGGAGCATCATCCAGGAGGGGTGCACACTGGTGGTGTGGAGGGGATCCCCATTACCTGTAAAGAGCTTTGAGTGGAGTGTCCAGAAAAGTGCTATGTGAGGAGTTATTCAAAATAGCAAATAATATGAATAATATAATCATATTACTAATAATATAATACCTATGATTATAATACAATTATTAAATAATTCCATATAATTTCAAGTTTGGGATTCGTTGCAAGTTTGTCTCTAATACTTTAACTTGTTTTAATATCTGCAGTCTTTGCATTTCTTGTTTTTTTTTTCTTACAGGTAGTATTAACAATAATAAATCCTCACGTATGTTTTAAAATACAGGTATTCCCAAAGCCAGTTCAGAGATGGTGTGTATTTCTATTTCAAGAAAAAAACTGTTTTTCATTGCTAAATATTATTATAAAGTATGTATCAATTAATACATTTTAATTGCCAAGAAAAAAATAGAATATATCGTGGACTTTTATTGGACAATTACTATTGTTTGTCTATTACCAAATGATTGTCCCCTGCAATCGGTAGAAGAACTGAGGGCCACGAAGATGAGAATTGAAGGAGGCTTTGATACTTTTAGAAAAAATAAACATGAATTATATCTAATTCCTTAACATTTACTTTTGCCCTCCTTCCTACTCATCCCCCTTGTGAATCCTGTAGTGTATCTTTTAAATGGCTAAGAATCTTTTTGTGTTTGCAAATGAGAATCTGGTCTGTGAGGTACAAAAAGGTGAGAATATCTGTCCCACCCATTATCTCTGAAGTTTGTTTGCTTCACTGTCATCTAAGTGTGATTCCTGCTTTTAAAGCAAAGTCATAAATGGAGTTTATAACAAACGTTCAGGCAGGATGACAACAACCAAGTTCAATCAGCCTCCGCTGTCAGTAATTAGCAATCACTCCTGATAATCCATTCTTCTCCCAGACTCTAGAAATACCTACGAGATCCCGATCTCTCTCTCTTGCATCCCACCTCCCCCTCTGCAGCTGCCCCTTGGTCACCCTGCATGGGGGTCCTGGTCTCCTTGTCCTCTGGCCGGGAGGTCAGCCCTCAGTCAAGCGGGTTAAGTCACAATTTCGCTCCATGACCTCTTCATCTTGGGTGGTGTCATTCCTAGTGAATTCATTTTGGCTGGAGCAGAGAGATTTTATTTCATTTGATCAAACGAATGAGTCCCTTGACATGCCATAAGGTAATCCTTTAAATGTTCTTACTTACAAACAGGTGTTACAGTCACGTTGTGGTGTCAGAGCTTGAACTTGAACTTTATTGCCATATGTAACCGGTACATGTACTGGTACAATGGAATTCTTACTTACAGAAAGTCTCCGATTGTTAAAACAAGTGTGCTTCAGTAAGTCTGCTTTTGGTTTTCCTAACGTGGCTAGGCAGTAGCATCATTGGTACACCTCACTGTAGCTTGAATTTCCCTAAAGTCAAATTTCACGTACCATCATCTATTTCCTGACGTGTTTGAGGTAGCAGGTCAGGTGTAACTCTTGTATGCATGTC